GATCGTTTTCTGTACTCAACGTTTTGTAAGTATTACTTTAACCACTTTTTTGGTGGTCTTTGCTCAAAACGCCTCAATATTAGTTAGATCATCATCAACGCTATAGCTCATAATATATTTTATAGTACTTTGAAATACGTAAATATGAAAGCCAATGTAAAAAATACGGTATGGGGTATGGTGATGACGTCTAGGAAGTCATATTTTTATGCACATGCACCAGATAAATCACAAAATTTGACCCCTCGTTTAAAACGAGAGTGAATTTGTATTTATACACTTTGTTAAACATTATAATGATAAAAGAAACAGACGGACATTCAAAACAATGGAATATACAGACGGAGAGGAGGATAAAGCTATTCAATGGAAGGTACAGACGAAAAAGAAGAGAAAAGATATTCTTTGGTGCACAAACAACATGCTTAAGGTGACAGTGAGGTCTTCAAAGAGGACCAAATTTCTGTCTTCATTTGCTGTTTTACGCGTAGCTGTTCTTTCTTGCATTGTTTGACTTGGCCTTCAGGTTTGCACTTAATAAAAATGCATCTCTTTTCGATTGTGTAACAGGTAGAAAGAAACTGAATGGCAATTGTTATAAATTGGTATTGTTGATGCAAGTTTATGATTTAATTTACCCCATTATGCCAGAGATAATAATAGAATGGGATATTTTGTAGCTCCGCGTACTTTACCAGTTTTTTCATTAGCTATGAGTTTGGCATATTTATAGAGATGAGAGCAAAACTATTTACATTATTTCACATCTTCAAACATCAATTTTCGATAGTCTCAAGCAAACGTGTTTATCCTTTTTCAAAATGTGATTCGTACATATATCTTGGTTTTGTTCCTTGATCCATGACTTGATGTAATAATGAAAAACTTCAGTCTTCACTGTTAAGTTTTTTAAATAATACTTATTAGGTTGTTGGTCCTATACAACACACAGTCACACACACACACACACACACACACACACACACACACACACACACACACACACACACACACACACACACACACAACAAAATAAATGACCATCTCATCCGAACATTGTAAATAGTGCTGTTTATATTTGCAACAGCTTGGGTTTCAAAGAGCGAATTTTAATCGAAAGAATTTTGAAACGATGTATTATATTGCCTATCAACAAGAATGTTGCTATCATAATCCTCATTCAAATTTTGTGACTGAACAGCATGTTTAATTTTGTGGTACATGACTCATTGCAATATCAAAACTATAAGGAAAAATGGCGGTTTCGTGTTCAATTAATGAAGGTCGAGCTCAAAATAACAATAATGAAGGTCGAGCTACTACTACTACTACTAGTACTACTACTACTACTAGTACTACTACTAGTACTACTACTATTACTACTACTATTATCACTACTACTACTAATGATAATAATAATAACAATAATAATAATAATAATAATAATAATAATAATAATAATAATAATAATAATAATAATAATAATAATAATAATAATAATAATAATAATAATAATAATAATAATAATCCACATCATTAATAAATATGTCCTGAGCAAACAAATAGTTGAGTCACAGCTTTCTTCCTGAGAATTTATATTTATGATGACGAGAAATAATAATAATTCTAATCTTTTTTTTTAAATCTATGTATTTGAATGGTTGAACTGATTCTTGCAAGTCCGCTACTTGAACATGGTTCACACATTGTTCACATTGTGAACTCTATTATCTGAATTCTTATAATATCAAGTCTCAAGTTCACACAATTGCTCTCAAATGAAACCAGAAAAACATTTACTTAAAATAGAATGAACGCCTCTAGAGATTTTAACAAAAGAAGGAGGAGCATTGTTTTCCCTGACACTCCTACAAAAGAATAAGAGTCAAATATTTCAAACGATTGGAATGGTCTCTTTGATTTTGAATCCTAGCTAATGCAAGCACTGCGCCAATAATTAGCGAGATCTTTGTGTCCCAAATGCTGCTTTCCTTACACTAGCAATTATCTCCGAGCTCAACAGCAATGTCTAAGAGTTTAAAGATTTAGATGTTATTTGGTCGCCACTGTTAATTGTTTTCACAGACAGATTTCATTTCATGTCGGTTTATTTATGTCGATCGATCGATTGGCTCAAAGCAGGTTTCCATTTTCTTGAGCAAACACTTTCATCAGCTATTGTGACTGACATTCAAAGAACCCGTCTACCTCTAAGGTATCATACAAAACGAATTGATTTCCTGCCCTACACAAATTAATGTTTGGCATTTTCTTCAAGGGGCACTCCAGCAATGAACATATTGCTAAGGTGTTGTTGACATAATTAAAACATATTGAAAACGGGTAATTGCTGTTTTTATCGGAGAATTGAATGTATTGTTAAAAGTATAACCGAAGTTTCACTTTACTTGGATAGTATATTTTATTCTGCTTATATACTTTATTTATGGCTGAAATTTAACTCATCCGAACTGTTTTCATCATTTTAAGGAATGAATACTTACCTTCCTGTCCTTGCCGAATAAAATGTGGAACACTAATATTTTATATTTGATGACGGAAAGTTGTAAAAATTACTTTTTCTAAAGAAAGTCGGATGTGTCAGTACATATTTTAGCACAGTCTTGAAAGGGTGAGAATATTATTATTTTGGAACAGGTTATACTTATATATATATATATATATATATATATATATATATATATATATATATATATATATATATATATATATATATATATATATATATATATATATATATATATATATATATATATAATCATTATTTGATTAAATGTTTACAAATTTACTTCAATATAGCCAGAATGAATATTTGAAAACACCATAAATATTTCCAAAGACGACATTTGTGTTGATAGATTAAAATTACAAGATTAAGTGAGGTTCATGAAACTCATTGCAACTTCAAAGGTTGAATACAAAGCTGACATTCACAAAGAGAATAACTGATGCCTCCAACCAAATACCCATTTTAAAATGACCTATGTAGATATTTCTTTCCGGTGTAAGTTGACTGTGAAAAATTTATCTCTGTCCTATGCAGTGTAACACTTTTAAAAACTTATGAAATACCAGTAGCATCCATTTGAATATTATAAGCTCTTGACTCGAATACAATCCTTGAACCATGTATGAGAACTTTTCGGCATCATAGTTGCTGAAAGTTCCAAGACTGTCTTATAACCCATTGATGATAGTAAAGGAAAGAAAAAGATGTGTAAACAGGTCTAAAACAGAACACAAGGTTGTATTGATGGAAAGTGTACTGGAAAATTAATTGTTGCAATGGTAAAAGGTGAATCAGTGTAAAAGATAAAAAAAAGGGCGTGGAAAGAGGTGACAGATGACGTTAATGCGTAAATATCTATACTAGTTAGAATTTTGTTTACAAATAGTGTAACTTTTAAAGAAAAACGTCTTCATTCATCAGGTCTGTATGTCGATGGGAATTCTGCATATAGCATCTTTAAGTGGTGTTAGTTTAATTTTCCTTCAATATCTCAAGAATCGTCATTGTTCTAACTTCCTGCACCATGCGCCATGTTTCGTGCGCCATGTTTCTCGCGACCTCACACTTGTTTTGAGATCCTGATATGGTTCACTGTGTCATCAGCGATTTTTAGACAATAACAGAGAGTACTGATTAAGAAACATTCGACAAAATGAGATTTAATAATGCAATGCGTTTCAAATCAAATGAAACACTTTGAAAAAAAATATATTGTAGCTAATGCCACATTTGCATCAAGTTTGTCGCCCTGGAGTGAACAATAGCAGTTCAAGCCAGGGACGTATTCGCATGTTCATTTCTTTTACGGGGAATAACATATCTATTATGAAAAAGAATGAAAGAGAAACGTTTGTAAATTTAACATGTATTTAACTATGATAGCTATAGTGAAATACTTTCAAAATTTATTTATGCGTCATAATTCCCAACCTGTTGACATGATCATATTATTAAAGTTTGATATTGCAGTCAATATGCGATTGATAGCAGTGAAACATTGTACAAATAACAACAACAACAACAACAACAATAATAATAATAATAATAATAATAATAATAATAATAATAATAATAATAATAATAATAATAATAATAATAATAATAATAATAATAATACAGAACTACCATAAGGATATAATAAATGTTTCTGCTTGAAAATGCGTTCCAGGGGAGTCATGCAAAAGAACGGTTAGAAACGTAAGTGTACATAATATAATGTAGAACGCAGTTAAGAAAATCATAGAATAGATCAGTTTACTACTACTACTACTACTACTACTAAAAATAATAATAATAATAATAATAATAATAATAATAATAATAATAATAATAATAATAATAACAACACCAACAACAACAATTTAACGTGGATTTGGTACAATACATAATTTTAGAATCTCTAAGAGCTTTGCATTACTTGATAACACATAAAAACAGTAAAATCACAAATTGCAAAATCAAAACAGGCTGACAATAATTAATGAAGTAAACATTGTTAAGTCGTTAAGATTGTTCTTGTAGTCGAAATAAATAAGGTGTAAGAATAAACTTGAATGAGATCACTGTCTTTGAGTCTTGAATGAGATCGCTGTGTCCTTGTGTTTAAGGTCTCTGGGCAATTAGTTTTATGTAGCTGGGCCTTGGTAAGCTGATAAAATTTCCCTATGACTTCATTGTAACAATGCGAACAGTGAGAATGCGAGTTGTGTGTGTGTGTGTGTGCGTGTGTGTGTGTGTGCGCGCGTGTGATTTACATTTTTTAACGTAGCTTTAACAATTTCTCAGTCATATCTCTACGATGTCTTTAGTGTGGCAGTTTACAGTGATGTCTAGCAGGGACATTATGCCGCAGACATGTAGTATGTCCCACCCAGTCACGTTATCCTGACACACCAGACGGACGAGTCCTAACAATAACCTCTTAATGCCGAGCGCAAGGCGAGGTAGCTGATAGTATCATTTTTGTAAGTATTTAGTATGACTTTGCCATATCGAACCCATGACCTTCTACATCTGAGGCAGACGTTCTAACCACTAAGCCACCTGAGTGGTGGGAGTTTTGGAAAAGGATCGTAAGTTTCTAATTGGAGTATACACATTGGTAAAGTGAGATAAGTATAATAAAGTGGAACCAGGCAACGAAATGTAGCATAGTGAACAGATTTTGCGTTTGATTCTGGATGGAACGGGCAGCCAATGAAGTTTTTATTTGGTTCATTATAATGAATCAGTTTTCTTTTAACTGATACGTAGTTTCTATAGAATAGTTTACATTGAATATTTGTTATAGTTATTACATATTGATTGATTGATTCATTCATTTATAATTACATTCATCAATTTTTATGTTCATCTATCATCCATTCATGCATGCACCCATTCATGTATTCAAACAGAAACAATAAAATAATGAGAAGAAATAATATCTATCCAGACACTAATCAGCTTATGTCTGGGGTTGACCTTATAGGAAATGTGTTCATTGTTAAAGAAGTTTTATTTTCAACCTAATGATAAAATTATTCAATCGAATGATTTGTAACATAAAATATTTAAAAATATTTAATACGTTTGCACTGATCACTACTACTATTACTATTGCTATTGCTGCTGATACTACTACTACTGCTGATGCTGCTGTTACTACTACTACTACTATTATTTCTACTACTGACAACAACAATTATAATAATAATTTAGTTTATGACAATTTTAGGTAGGATTTGTACCATACAGACACTGACAATTTTAAAAAGAGAAGAATAATAAGAGAAAAGTATATGCAAGGTATTGACCCTGTATCTTTTTTGGCTCCATAATATTCCGTTACCGGCTAAACGTTCTTGCGTATATTGTGGAAATGTTTATTTTTATAGGAGTGGCTGGCGGCACTGGCATACATACTGTACAGCAATAAAAGATGCCAATGAGTCAAAACATTTCATAACAAGAATTGTGGGGTGAAGGTCACCTCAATACATATTCCTTAAGATAATTAAGACAACATTTATTAGAGTAATATGCTAAAAGTTGAGTTGGGTGGTTTGGATTACTAAATTGTAATTTGAAGACATAGGTATTTGAGAGGAAACCATTTGATTACGAGTGGACTTGAGGAGCTTTGTAAATACGGGTCTTGAAACATTATAAAAAACTCAGCCGCAATAACGATTCATAGTTACTGAATTGTTGTGATAGGACTTTAAGCATTACATAACAATCTAGCAGCTGTAATGTATATAAACCATAACAATTACACTACAAATATGGAATTTAAATCGAAAGTCTATAAAAAAAAATGGCAATGACAATGTACACCAGTTATATGACCTCTGGTTAGCGTGATGACTTAACACTAAGTACTTCCAGTGACACCAGGGCAAGTAGATAATAAAAACTAACCATGCAATTTAATTTAACAATACAATTCTTTGTCATTTTGTCCTCAATGTATGAATAAATAGTTGTCATTATGATTAGACAGCGAGAGAAACAAATTAGAACAAAACCTGGAAAAGAGACTGGCCCAGTGCTATCATTGTGATGTATAGTTAGAACACCATAGTCCTGTTATAACTGTGCTTACTGACTAATGGAATTGATTACTGCACTGAATATTGTTATTTAACATAGCCTAAAGACCGTGAAATGAGCTAGAAAGCATAAAATCTTTTTAGATTATCCATAACCCGTTCTTGAAAACTCAGCGAGACTATCACGACACTACAAACTTACTGTTTTTTTATTAAAATAAAATTCTTTATAAATGTATTCTAAAAAAATATAAGTTTCTTATCTAACAAGAGATTGTCGCGAAAATGTTTTATCGTTGCGGCAAGAATGTTTTCTTCTCATGATACCGAACTTTGAAAATAGTGATTTAATTAATTATTTGGAATTGAATGCTGTTGTTATGTTGTTGTAAATTGCTAAGGTTTACCATATCTATTTGAAGTTCGTTGTATGAAGTTTATATAAACATTATTATTATATGCTCATTTTGTTTCTCCTTTAATTTTACATTGTCAGAATCGTGCAATAGTTTACGATATTGCACTCGTGCACTTTTCATATTAAACTCACGTACACGATACATGTGCCCAATATTGTATTAGGAACTATTTTGTAAACAAATCATATACACTAATGTAGTAGACCCTTTACGTTTTGGCTGATTAAATTTGCTTCTGAATAGACTTAGGCAGATATTTCATGGCCTCCCACATAAAAGCTGCTTTGCCACATTCCCCGTTAACTTTTTGACACAATGTTTCGGATTTAGCTAGCGAAAGACGCTTGGCAGGGTCCCTACAAATAACATGCAGGTAACGAAACATAAACTGTCTTCTTTAGCTGATAATAAGAATGGCGAAAAGTGCTTACGGTTTATATCCTGAATTTCTTCAAAATTTACTTTCTTAGTTCTGCAAATCCAAACTAAATGAGATAAGTCATGGGTTCTCAAGCTTGATTGCACATTTCGAAAGTGAAATGTAATTTTGACTCCATTCCAAGTGCAATTACATCCTCCTTAATGCACTCCAAATGAATAAACATTACTTTCCATAGCGCCTAAATTTGTAATAATTGCAATTAAAAGACTTCATATTTTCCCCACATTATGACAGAACCGAAACACACAGATCACAACATGCTGCTTCAGTCTGATATACTTCATGTAGAATTGTCACAGATAAATACAGTCCATAATCACGAAATTTCGTAGAATGTCAAAAATATCAAACTCTATTCATTCAGACTAACTGGAAAAATTGTTGCAATGCGCATTCATTCACAATATGACTCCAAATTTCAATTTTAAGTAGACCAAAACGCTATTTTCTTTCGAAACTTACGTCAAGCGCTTTCGTAGAATGTCAAAAATATCAAACTCTATTCATTCAGACTAACTGGAAAAATTGTTGCAATGCGCATTCATTCACAATATGACTCCAAATTTCAATTTTAAGTAGACCAAAACGCTATTTTCTTTCGAAACTTACGTCAAGCGCGACCAAGTTTAATTTTATTTGGGCGGAGTTACGTGCGCATTAATATTCTTGTTGTGTAACCATGAAACTACGCTTGTGTATTTAGTTTGGAATACGTCATACATTCAGTTACTTTGTTTCTTGTAGTGTATTTTATTTTATATAATTAAGCCTTAGTAGTATAAGAAAATGACCATACAATAAAAATGTTACTGCATTTGTATGGGAAAATATGAATTGGTTTTGTCGGATGAATATATTGTACTCTCAGGGTCGTGCAGTTTTTCCATAAAAAAACTCGTCCATATTTTCCCATACAAATGCAGTAAACTATAATGACGTCACAACAAAAACATTCTTGTATGTATTCAATCATAGCAACGGTTATAAAAATAAGTAATGAATAGAATCAGTTCACTATTACAATGGTACATCAAAACATCATTTAATAACTGGGTTTTAGAATAAGAAAACAAAGGATTTACATATATGAAGTATAATAATATCCTATTTAATATTGCTAGAAAAATAGCAATAGTTGGTTTTAAAAAAAGACATAATAATTATAACAAAATCAATTCTAATACTGTTTGAATTAAAGTTTGTCACATTAAACTTATAAATCAGTCTGTTCTGAGAAGTATGATTTAATCATCTTAGACATTGTAGACACACGATAGATCACAGAGTTGCACTATCTTCTTAGAGCAACAATATCCTGGAAATAAAGAAAACAAATTTCTCGCCGTTCATCACATATTGATAATCAATTTTGCCTGGACAAAATTCAGATACCCGTGCAGTACAAGTGTCAGGTATTTGTAGTCACAATATTTTTATTCCAGACTCGGCTTGGCTTCAGTGACATCAACTCTGGAATAATCTACTCCTTTGTGATTATGAAGTGTAAAACCCAAAAGAATTTTGTCTAATGAACAGAATTAAGAAACGTGACACAAAGAAGTCTCGTTCTCAGAAAGAAACCGGCTAGTCTAATTTCATTGAATAATAAACGTTGTTAAAACGCTAGGTCGAAAACATTTCTTTCTACGTCTTGTAATGATCATGTTGTTATTTTTATTCTTATGACAGCTAGCAAAAACACGACCCCAGACAAAGCCATGTTTGTTAAGTTAAAATTTGTAAGCATCCACGATTTACTTGGAGACAAAAGAAACACACGTGTTTTAATTTTCATGACCGATGCGAACTTGACTAACCCAGAAAAGCAACTACTTTGGTAAAACGGGTCTTATTTTACCAGTGCGGAAGTGCTCATGTAAAATAATTCCGTTAATACCACTAGTTTAATATTCGTGGAAGCTTACGTCTTGTTACCAATATGATATGTCACTTTTGTTCTGTACAAACGATTTAAAACTTTAGTGATATAATACCTAAGGTCAGAATATTACATACGTTTTATTCCTTTATTAAGACATATTATTTTTCCAAAGAAAGTGTTTGAAAGCAGCGCACACTTATTTTTCTTGAAGTCGTTCCCCGTGAAAGACTTCCATATAGTAAGAATAAGAAAAGTCGCCTCTATTTACATTTAGAACAACTAATGGTTTTTTCTGGATGGCATGTATTTGCTATTTTTTTGTAATATGCACTTTTCGTAAAGTACTTATCGCTGCAGACGACATATGTATGTATATCATACTGCAGAGGAGATTTGGCGTTAAATAATATAGTCTCTTTGAAAGCCACGTTTATCCAATATGACTCCACGAATGTGCCATCTGGATTATCAGAAATGTTTCTGTTTGAGTCCCAGTTGATAGCATTTAAACTGTTTTTGGCTGGCATTATGAAAGGCTCCGATGAGGAAATCACATGGAACGGTGGTATAATTCCAAGTTATTTACATCGGGATTAAAAAAGTTATTTCAACTTGTTATTACAGATTGTTATGGAGAATTATATTTCCATTAATATCTCAAGGGAGGCTACAGCACAATTACTCAAGGAATAAAAATAGTTCCAGCATTGTTTGTGAGCATGGTAATACAGATTTAGAAAATGACAATATTCTTTTCCTACTTTTCTGATTGGTCGGTAAATTTTTAGCTCATTCCAGAGTAGAAAATTGATAGGTATATAATTAATGCAGATAGGTAGAAAAACTTTTCTCCTGCGTAAATACTGGGTATATCCCATCGTGGGAAACTAATAAAACCCCATTCGTTAAACACTCACCACTCGTTAAAATATATTTTATTTATACTTCAAAATCAAATTATACAAGTTATTTACGCAAGAAATTATTTTGTTTGAATACGAAACTTGCTACTGAATCGAAGCTTTGATGATGATTGACTCTTTAGTACAACATCTCCAGCCTCATCCCCACTCAACCTCAACTTACTTTAATTTACTGATCAAATTAATATTTGCGATTTAAGAGAACAGCAGGATTGCGATGACCATTTCTTTCTCTTTGTTTCTCGCAGCAATAAAATCCACCTTATTATGGTCGTGTTATGTTGAACTCGTTATTTACCCTACGATGAAGTGCAAGGGATAAAAACGGTTGTGGCCATTTTCGACCAGCTTCCAAAGTGTGTCAATTGGGTGCAGCATTGTAGCGTTTGAAGATCTGAGTATTTTATTACGTATGTTTTAATTCTCTAAAATATTTGTTTGATCGTCACCGTTGACACATCGCCGCTAAAACCACATGAACGTCCTCAATCACTCAAGTACCACCCAGTTATGGCCTGATGTCACAGCCCTCTTGTACCTTATCAGTTTTACGGTTTCCAATTTATTAGAACAATACATCTCTTCAATTATTTGGACATCAATGTAACTTTTCTCCGGATATTGAAAACAATACCATTTTCTCATAGAAATATAACTTATATATGTTAAATGAAGAAAGATATCCCTTGACCATGGGAATTGAAAACATCTACAGGAGTTTATTAGCGGGGCACTTATGTAATTAACATTTATTTGCCTAACAAACTGTTCGTATCATTGATTAATAAAGAATTTGTGTTAAGTTTAATCATGACATCACATTGCATACGCTATTCGTTATGATCAAGAGGTTATGCAATATTTAGCGTGTCGTGTTAAGAAGCGATAATATCAACCTCTGTTGAAACAATCAACTTCATATTGACTGAAGAAAGGGAAAGTCAGTGCGATAGGTTACTGCAGAGGTCGACGAGTATTTTGCATGGCATGCCACTTTTTTTCCCGGACTAATTACAAAATGAATGAGCGCGTGCTACCAGTAAGAGAGTAACGCTGTTAAAATCGAGACATTTGGCTGCCCTTCGCGTGCACGCAAAACTTCTTGACGTGCCATCTTGTGGCACGCGTGCCGTAGTTTACCGATCCATGGTTTACTGGTTCATAAAATTTCATATTGATTGAAAAAGGCATACTTTTTACATAATTTAGAAGAAAAAATGAAAATAATGTACATAAGATTAGTATAAACACCATCCTAACATCATGACGCCATAAACGTAACATAAAGTTGATGTCATTAATATACTATATGAAGAATTATCATATTGTCATGTAACTATATGCACGAAAATAACACTTGTATTATATATGACTATAAATGTAAAATGGTTTTCGCTGCCACGTACATTGTTATCCAGTGTGTTTACTTTTAACATTCGAGATTTGGAAATACATGTATCTGTTCACCTACAAAGTGTCAGAATACGGGAATAGGTTTATCACGAGTTCCCATACCCTATCAAATAGAATATTGATATATCTGTTGACAAACGGTTTCATTTGTGACTATTTGTCACTGAGCTATACTTTTTATATTCGTTTATGAACAACACCATTAAAAATATATGTTGATGAACTGTGTGCGCCATAGTAGGGTAGGATTTTCAGCTGTCATAGTTCATTTTGTCAGATAGGGAAGTAAGAGTGTAAAGGGTGTATACTTGAGTGTCAGATATTTAATATTCAATAATATGCATGATAAAGAAACACTGCATTTGCGTGCTTGAGTTATGTGTCTTTACTATATTCAACCAACCTCATTTTATCATGGTACACATGCGACATAAAGAAATATAACAAATCACTTGCCGTTGTGCTGTGCTGTGATTATTTTTAACGTTACTTTTACAATTTTTCAGTCATATCACTACGATGTCTGCAGTGTGGCAGTTTATAGTAATGTTTAGCACTGGGGAATCATGCCGCCTACGTGAAGCATAATGTCTCACCCAGTTACATTATCCTAACACTAACCTCTTAATGATGAGCGTCAATCGAGGCAGCTGTTAGCATAATTTTGTAAGTCTTTGGTATGACGAAATCCTGGATCGAACCCACGACCTCCAGCATCCGAGGCAGACGCTCTAACCACTAGGCCACCGGAGCGGTTGTCGTTGTGCTATCCAATGAATATTTATCGCTCACAAGAGATGATCTTTTTATTGGTATTATTCGATACATGTTTAAATAATATATTTTTTTCTAACATGTTTTTCTTTCTTTACCGAACAATAACTTTTAAGCATGTTTATTATTTTTAATTCTATATAAAAAAGTGCACATGAACAAATATTGGAAAGAAAATTATAGATAGAAAAGATTTTTTTAAAGACCTTGGGTAGAATCGTAAAATACATTTATTCTCCAAATTATCTACTACATTGTTTACAAATGGACGACCTTAAGTAGGAATTATAAAATTAAGAATGCTTACATTAAATTAGAAAAGCAAATTACTCCAATTTATTAGAACAATGCAGCCCTTCAATTAATTGGAAATCAATGTAACGTTTCTCCGGCTATTGTAAACAATTAATACCATTTTGCCATGGAAATTTAAGAAGTCAATTTACCAAATGGAAACCATCTTGATGATAATACATAACAATCAATGTTATCGTTTGATTTTATACCGTGCTTTTAATGCGTTCATTATTTCTTTCAAAATCAATCTGTGCACAAATAATGAATAAATATTAAGGAGAAACTTGAAGCCTATTTCTGCTAGAAAGGCCACCAAGAAAAGATTGAAGATCGGTTTCTTGGAGAAAGATAAACGCATATCAACCAGTCTAAACGAGAATGTACTTGTTATTATCATCAGACTGATTTGGAACTCAAGGGATACATTTGACAAAAGTGAATTATAAAAGAGAAATAATTGTATGGAGACAGTCAATTTGAAACATGATATAGTTTGTTTTCCTTTAGAGCGATTCTTTAAAAGGTCTATTTAATAATTTAAATAAGCACCAAAAATACGGTTTCTACTTGCAGATTGATTCTCAGCACGAAATGCCAAATTAAACGACCTTACAACATAAAGGGACGTATACACAGTCGGTTTTGAGACCACCATATGCATATCCGCTTCAGAAATCTCGTAGTTAATAAACAATATCATATGGGATATGCTTCAATATTTAGTTGAAACGAATTGAATCATTTCCTGCTTGTGAGAGCTAAGGCTCGCAAAACTAGGATATTATTCGATGAGTTACATAAAATTAATATTAAATCATGACACTCTTTAATTTCTTTTTATCTCATAGTTTTTTCTTTTAGTTGAAATTATTTAGAGAAAAATAGGATCCAATAATTTCGTTCCTATTACAGGTATACAACTCATCGCTACCCTCACACCCGCTATCAACCGAACATTACCCTTAATATTATTTGTTGATATTATCCTTGTCTTGGGATTTTTACTCCATTTTTCATAGCACGATATGCTATATTTGGCGTAATGGGCCCATGTGGGGATAAATTCACCATATTCAGAAAGAAGTGATCTTTTTCCCCAATTCCTGTTGGGCAGTAGATTCGAAAAATGGCCTCCATATTGTTCATAACAAAAAGAAAAGGTTGCAAAAGGCAGGATAATTTTTACCCACAATCACAGCCAATCAGTAAAGAGAATAACGCGCAAGAATTTCTTGGACTTATTTAGACTAGTCAGACTCACATAAAGTGATATGTTAACGTGTTGTAATATCAAAATATTAAACTGCACACACCATATGTAAAGTGTGCAGACTATGTGATAATACGTTATCTTAGACCGTGTTCATAACCAGCATATATAGATGCTGCTTTAGATTCCCCGTATTATAGCAGCTAAGACCATCTTAATAACCAGCATATGCATAGCCCACTTCAGATACATAGTAGTATTAGAGCATCTTAGGCTATGTTAATATTCGTCATATGCATGGCCCACCTCGCATACATCAAAGCGTTATAGTATCTTAGACCATGTTAATAACCGGCACATGCAAAACCCACCTGAGACACATCAAAGTTATACTATCTTAAACTATATTATTAACCGGCACATGCATACCCACTTGAGATACGTTAGAGCGATATAGTATCTTATACCATTTTAATAACCGGCATATGCATACACACTTCAGGTAAATCAGAGCGATATGATATCTTAGACCATGTTAATAACCTGCATATGCATACACACTTCAGGTAAATTAAAGCGATATAGTATCTTAGACCATGTTAATAACCGGCATATGCATACCCACTTCAGGTAAATCAGAATGATAAAGTATCTTATACCATGTTAATAACTGGAATATGCAAATCCACTTGAGATACGTCAGAGAGTTATAGTATCTTAGACCCTGTTAATAACCGGCATATGCATACATCAGAGCGTTACAGCATCTTGAGATACATCAGAGCGTTATAATATCTTAGATCATATTAATAACTGGCATATGCAAACCCACATGAGATACGTCAGAGAGTTATAGTATCTTAGACCCTGTTAATAACCGGCATATGCATACATCAGAGCGTTACATCATCTTGAGATACATCAGAGCGTTATAATATCTTAGATCATATTAATAACTGGCATATGCAAACCCACATGAGATACGTCAGAGAGTTATAGTATTTTAGACCCTGTTAATAACCGGCATATGCATACATCAGAGCGTTACAGCATCTTGAGATACATCAGAGCGTTATAATATCTTAGACCATGCTAATAACTAGCATATGCAAACCCACTTGAGATAAGTCAGAGAATTATAGTGTTTTAGATCATGTTATTAACCGGCATATGCATCCATCAGAGCGTTACAGTATCTTGAGATACATCAGAGCGTTATAATATCTTAGACCATGTTAATAACTGGCATGCAAACCCACTTGAGATACTTCAAAGTTATATTATTTTAGACCATGTTAATAACTGGTAGAAACAAACCCATTTGAGAAATGTCAGAGCGTCATTGTATCTTAGACCATGTTACCAACCGGCATAAGCATACAAACTTGAGATACATCGGATCGTTATTGTATCTTAGACCATGTTAATAACCGGCATTTGCAAACCCGCTTGAGATACGTCAGAGCGTTATATTAGTTTAATATCTCGTGTACGTTTCTTCAATAAAAGGAAGTAAAAAAAATAACTTGAATCCGTTAATGACTGATTTTTTATTCAACCGTCAGTGAATCTCCGTTGTGTATATCTGTTGTTTTTTCAACAATTTTAGTTATGATTTGTTGCATTATTATAATAAAAAACTATTTCTTGCCTGTTATAAAATTGTAAAAAAATAGGCTCATTATGCTGTTCTTTGCAGGTTCGTATATATCGCTTGTTTGTTTTAGTTTCTTTTAAATATTTTTTATATCGATCTTACGTAGAACCGAAACGCGGCGTGTCGTCTGTCTTGTGATGATACTATTTTCTGCGTACGTAAGTTGTTTACGAGATAGTAGAATACCAGGGTATAGACAGCATACATGTAATAATATATTTACAGCACAAAGATTCGGTATATACTATTTTTGTTTAGCTTAGTCTGATTTGAATACAGCAACTAATGTGGTGTGACTTTCTAAAAACCGTTATACATATCGTTGACAATCATTGACAGATCCGCTGCTTTCGTCGCAAACAAGACAGGCAATCTTAGTATACCACATTGCAAAATTTTCTTCGGGCGTAAAGTAATATTATGCCAACATTTCATGCCAAAACATTGACTAACATAGAAGATATTTGATTTTCAAAAATATCTAACGCAAAGAATAACTTTCCAGGCAATAGATTCGTGTAATAATTTAAAGTAATTCTAATTGGTACCGTTTTTTATATGTTTTGATACAATTTGGAACAATATTAATTACACATAATAGCTTAGTTTAAGATTTACATGTTAATTAAAAGCTTGATGGTTCAATCTTTTTTCGAATTAAATATTTTAGTCTTTAATCGTATATGGTTTTCATTTTTCAATTTACAAGTTTCCAGTAACAGATTGTATTGATAGTTGTTACAATAAACCAGACACTATTAACATGATTCAGTCTCAGTCAAGGGATCAAAGACGTGTATAACCGTTGTTAAATTCATTTATCTCGAGCCGTATCTTCAGAGTTGCACGTACGTAAAAAAGAAAAGATTATGCGCCCACACTGAATGGTATTAGCGTCCTTCAAAGGCAGAATAATTTACCTAGACGTTAAGCCAAAACAGACTTCAGTTTTATTCAAGTTCTGACATATTCATTTCTTTGTTACTTTTTAGGGCCTTATTATCTCACTTTTATAATCTCATTTTTGCCGTACACTTCAGATCCGTTTAATTAATGTATGACATTCACCACAATCTTTGTGCATAAACCCTTCAGCACCGTGTAGTCCCAGTACAAATACATGTAATTTAAAAGCAAACGTTATCCATTTACCTATAAAACATTCGAAACACTAGGTCTAAAACGCAATTTGTTTTACGTTTGAAGATTAGAATATTCTGTGTCTAACTGAAATGCAGTGAGATATTTGTCAAAATGAAAACGTTGCTGTTAGTGGATTTAGAGAACCTTTTAAGTTCAATCGAAGCACAAAATCATGTCGACATGCATTGTAGCCTTGAATCGTCAAATTTTGAAAATAGAAAATGAGATCAAAAGAACTAATTTAATACTTTTGTTGTAAGCAGAACACTTCAATTTAGAATTGACTTTAGGACTTCAATTCAACACTGAAAGAATCTACTCTTTATTGAGGCTTCCAACATTAATGCACGTGACTTATTGGCTGACTTCATGACGAATGCTTTCAGCTCGCCATTACACGATATGGTTCAGCTACATTATTTCTCATATGTTATGCTTTAAAACAGGAACTCTAAAAACGAAAGAGTTCTTACTCAATCCAGTACTCAACAAATAATATCGACATATTTTTGGTGTAAAAAATGGAACGTAGACATTTCTGATCACAATGTATAATGCAGAGTTGTTGCATTAGTTACATGTATGAAACCATCATTAAAAAAGTATTTTTGGTCAAACAAACGCACAAATTTCAAAAAACTTCAAATTAGGTGATTCAAAGTGAACC